AAAACTAAATAATTGTCAGCAATGATCCTAGCTTTCAGCACTGAGACACATGATACTAAAAAAAAAAAAAAAAAAAATCTGGGCCACTGTAGTTGGAAGGGCAGTGATAAGATTTCTGATTCTCTTATACCTTTGATATCTCATGTTTCCCACTGACTGGCATTTAATCCTGAATCTTGGTGGCAGGACTTCTGAGAAATACAGTTATTAGGTCCCCAGACCCTTAATGTATTGGAGAGGACAAGAATGAGGAAATAGTGTTATGTGTCAACACAAAGTCCAGCATTGTTTCAATTATATATGGAAGCTTTTTTTCTTTTGTATGTCATTTTCTAATATTTATGACAGATGGATCACTTTTCTATGTTAATCGTATAATGCAACAGCCCAAGGACGTAAATGTTAATACCAAAAAAGGAGCTGTAACTACTTTTTTTTTCCTGCCCTTACCCTCTTCCTCACTCCCTCCATCTCTCTTCTTTACTTTCTTTTTTCCCCTTCATTTCTTTCCTCTCTCTTTTCCTCCCTACCCCTCTTCCTTCCTTCTTCTTTCTTTCCTCTTTCCTTCCTTTATCCTCTTTACCTCTTTCCTACACTCTCTAACTCCTTCTCTTCCTTCCTTCCTTCCTTTTTTCTTTCTTTCTCTCTTTCTTTCTTCCTTTCTCTCTTTCTTCTTTTTTCAACTTGTTCGACTTCATAAAGTTTGTCCTACTCAGTGGCAAAATAGTATAGTCCTTATTCTATCACAATATTAATCATGTTAAACACTTTCAGATACCAAACTCCAAATACATGAGAGAGAGAGAGAGACTGCATAAAGGTAGATAGATAGATAGATAGATAGATAGATAGATAGATAGATGATAGACAGACCTGAATTGTTTAAGTTCAACTACTTGCACCATTGCAAAATGAGGCATTATCCACTTTTCAAAGCTGAAGGCAACTTGAGATCCATGGCTATTAAGCCAAGTTTCCATAGCTAGCAAGTTTACAGCAGAGATTCAATCCTGGGTCAGCTTTATTCCAAAGCTTATAATTGTTCCATTTGTCAAAACGACCTCAATACATTCAGCAAATGTGACCGATTTTAGGGAAAAGTCTGTATCTTATTAATCAATGTTTGTCAGGGATTCACCCTGTATACTAGGTTTCATACACACAGACTAACTGAATTTTAGAACTTCAGACATTTACTGGTAGTGATGCATCCTCTCATATATTTTGTAGGATAGATTTGAAGTGTTCAGGTAACTGAGTGTTCAGGCTAAGGGTTTCAATTGCTAGTATGTGAAGCAAGATTGGATAGAAAACTTCTTGTATTTGAAAAATGCTCCAGAAAAATCATTTTGTTGTTGTTGTTGTTGTTTTCTTTATTTGTTTGTTTGTTTTTCATGCTCAGTGTTCCTTGGCATATAAAAGTATAGGAAAGTATGACATAACCTACGGGGCAAGTATCATGTATGAGGTACTTTGCATACATTCATACTAATCAAAATATTTGAATGTTTACAATTTATGAATTCCTTGCATCATGGTAGCAAAGTTGTATGCACTACAAAACTTAGGCACTGTCACATTTTTACATCAAAATTTATTACTGTTTTTTCCTTCTTACTTTGAGAAAACCCAGTTTCTTTTCCCTCCTTAGAAACTCCAACTTTAGAAATACTAATTTACCATGTCTTCTATGAATAAACTGATACTGAAAATATTCTCTTGGTGGTAACTCAAATCACCCCTCCCACCTCTACAACTAGCAGATAGAAATAAATGTTATCTACGAAATTCATACAACTTCAAATTATATAATATTTCATGCCCAGTGATAAATTACTTATTTAAGTCATTCTGCCTTGGTTCATATGTTAAAATATTTTTGTATATTTTATGTAGCAAGTATTCCTATGAAAGACTGCAAAATAATACCTTCCAAAAGACAAAAACTGCAAATATAGAATTTAATAGTATATAAAATAAAATATTATTGATTACAAATGGCAAAATACAGATGTTTTGAACAAGCACCTCAAAATAAAGATTTTATTACTGAATAACAATTTTGGACAGAATCATTCCATCCTCCTTACTGACCATTAGAAATTGTACATTCCCATAGATTTGAGACACTACACCAGAAGGCCTCTGGTGGACATTCCTTTTAAAAGATATTTCAAATATTCACCCAAAATAAACTCCATGGATCTTCCCCATTATTTAAGTTATTATCAGTTTTGATTACCAGACAATAAATATACCAGGTAGCAGTGTTATTAACATATATAATATATATGTAGCAATTAATGTATGTGAAAAGGTTCTTTTATTTCCCCTTTCAAATTTCAATGTAATTGAAAAGACCATCAGGATAAAAATTAAATCCCCATTTTTTAAATTGGGAGAACATCCAAGTATTTTATCAGCTATAGCATTCTATTACTGCAAACACTGATAGAAAGGAATAGATATTTTTCAATAGATGAGAATTCTGCCATTTCTGAAAATCTATAAGCCTAGAGCCATTCAAGCTCTTCTCTAATGGAATGAAACTCTTTTGGAACCGAGCCAATGCCTACTGGGTAAGAGTTGTGTAAGTTATTGAGTGAAACATTTCATTCTCAGAGGATGAACTCAGGACCCCTTTTAATATATGTTGCCTCTTATTATGGCAGGAGTTTAGTTGATTGTCAAGATAAAACTGTCAGTGTCTCCCTTGAATGTTTTTAGTAGTTGTAGTGACAGATTAGGTGCAAGTACATGAATGAAATGGGGATTTATTTAAAGTGACACCATGAATCTACTCTCATCAGATTCATCAATTCTAATTCAGTTATGTCTTTTTGGAGTGCTCAGTCTGTCTCATTTGTTTCAATTGTTTCCTATTCTACCAATATGCTTTTCAATTAGGTGGGCAGAGCAATAACAAGAGTGACTTAACAAGAGAACTGTGCTATGCCAAACCTGCTTCCATAGGTTCCCTGTGTATGTAAGTAAGCTCTATATTCTCAATTTGAAACCTGGATTTATTAATAGCTTAAAAGAGAGTCTCCTCTCAAAAATTAGAGTTCTGTTGAATTACTTGAATTTAATACAATTTAGCTGGTAATTGATAGAGTGCACCAGTTCACAGGTGGCAAAGACTTTTACTCCATTCTATTTCCATCTGCTGAAATGTCTACCATAAATTTAAATTGCATATCAATCATCCATCTGGAAGTAAGCATTAGATCCAAAATCCTCTTACCTACAGCTGCTATGTCGTGTTCAGTTGTCTTTCTTTAAAACTGTCACAAGCACCATAATTAACTGGTTTCTAACATTAAAAAATCTAATTAAGGTGTCTATATAAAATTTATCTTTGGTATTCACAGATATCACAGAAGTGCTAAATTAATATAGACTTTGATTTGATAAGATGTTCTAGTAATTAAGAGTTAAGGACAAAATGTTTTATACACCTTCCGAGATGTATATACATAATTTGTAAATAGAACACAAATTATTATTTTAATTTTCTTTGTGTATATATATAACCTATTCCAAGATCATTTTATTGCAACAAATAGAACTATGATGGCAAAATTTGACTGAAAATTGTGTCTAATATTAGAATGTAGCAGTGGACTAATTTATAGGAACTATTCTTTTTCGTGAGTTGGAAAAGACTCCAGAGACTCTCACTGTTAGAGACTTTCTACCCACTTCTTTATCTTTTCTCTTCCCTTGTTTTCCATTCTTTGGGGAAATGTCAAATTTATGGTTACTTTTCTCCACAAAAATAATTTAAGGATACCTTGTACTGTAAGGGTTTTCAATTAAGGCCTTCAATAAAAATGACAAGCTGATATGATTTAATGGGATGAATGAAAGGCACTTGGTTTAAAAAATTTTCTGCAGTTACCTTCCAGAATTTGGCCCTGACTTGTGAAAGTAAAATTACACTGTCAAACTATTGACACATACAATGTCCTCCAGAACTATCCCCAGATTCAGATTTAGTTACTTTCTTTCTTTAACTCTAGTTTTCAAGCCTGAAGATACTGAAAACATACAGTAGGCTGAGTAAAATGCTTTCCAATATTTTAAATCAATTAATTTGAATTAACCTGACAAATTAAATAATAGATATATATCATACCCTAAAATAGGGTATGATATTCTCAATATTTTATAAATAATTTTATAAATAATTCTCAATATTTTATAAATAATTAGAAAACAAAGATAAATTATTCTATATAAAAATGAATTTACCTATTTGATTGGTTATTTAAAGATACATCATAAACATTACAGTTAAGCAGTACTTGGTAGATTTGAGATGATCTGTTGATGTCCACTTACTCATTAATATTAAACATCGATCTAATCATGTATTCTAAAATATTTTAATGTATTAATTTTAAAGGATGGTTAGATGCAAACAGATGCAATTAATATTTATAGTTTGGATTGTTGTATAGTATTTAAAGACATAGAGCTGCTGAGCAAACACCATAAAAATCTCTTTCATCCAGAAATTCCTTATTAAGGTAGGGATGACTCAAACTCATTCTGTCCATGACTTCCTGTTTATATAAACTTGAGAACAGTCTTCAAATCCAAGCCATCAAAAGGAACAAAATCTATCCACTACCACATTATAGGTTGTTTGAGGAAGAAATAAGATACTATATCAGAATACTATTTTTTTCCGGCAATTTAACACAATATTCATGTGCTTGCCATGTGCATATCAAACCATAAATTTAATAAAGACAATATTTTACTATTTTTATATTAATATTCTTTCTAGAACATTTGTAGAATGTTTAACTGACACAATCAAGTTTTTTTTCAATTTAGAGATAAAATACTTATTTTGAGCATATAAAATATTAAGTTTAACATATTAAGCTATGTTTAATAAGTTTCATAAATGATATATGCAGGTTTTATGTATTTTTCCATTCAACATTCCTTTCAATTATAAAGGCAGATTAATAAAAGACAAACTGTACCTGCTCTCTGAAAACAGGGTCCAAGTTATAAACTTCAAAAAAGAACTTGTTTCTGTAAAGATATCCCTTTGCAGTAGTCATGCAAAAATGATGCTTAGTAGATCTTGAATGACATAAATAGTAATCCTTGAAGGCCACCTGTTAAGAAACAGTCTCTATTTAGTTTTATAAGAATGACCGTATACTGTTTAACCATATCAACACATATTTATAACACTTTAAGCCCTAGATATTTATTTAGTCATTGTTTTTTTCAGATTTAATTTTCTTCTGTAATTTATATTTTATAATAAACACAGAAGAACATCACTTTAATCCAATTGTCATAGATTTCAATAGTTTAAAACATTTAACACATAATACAGACAGGACATCAACATAGAAGCATTGAACTTAATCTACACACAAGAGCAGATGGTCTTAACATATTTATAGAATATTCCATCCAACAGAAGAATATGCTTTTTTCTTATGGATTAATGAAACATTTTTAGATTAGAAATATGTTACACAATATGAGTCAACACTTTAAGAATATTGAAAGCAAGTATCTTTTCTGACCACGATGGTATGAAAGTCAAAACAATTATAAGAAGAAAACCGGAAAATTAAAAAATACATGGAGATTAAACAACATGCTACTGAATAAAGAATGAGTCAACGAAGAAATCAAATAAGAAATCAAAAAAATACTTGAAGGTAAATGAAAATAGAAACACAACATATCAAAATTTATGGGCTGTGGTAAAAGCAATCTAAAAGGGAAGTGCAGAGAAAAAAGATCCTACATAAAGAAAAAAGAAAGATCTTAAATGCACTACCTAACTTTACACTTCAAAGAACTAGAAAAAGGACAAACTAAATCCAAAGTTAATAGAAGAGTTAAACTCATAGATATAGAATCAAAAAGTGATTGCTAGGGGCTGGAAGATGGAAGATAAAAGAAGAGGTTGGTAAAAGTATACACTTTTAGCTCTAAGGTAAAAAATTTGAGGATCTACTCTAAAACATGGTGACTACAGTTGATAACACCCAACTGTAAATGAAATTTGCTAAGAGAGTAAAGTTTAAATATTCTCACCAAAAAAAAACAAAGATAAATATGTAAGCTGATGGATGTGTTAATTAACGAGATGGGGAAAATCTTTCACAATATATGTGTACATCAAATCATCATCATATACACTTTAAATATATTATAATTTTATATATAAATTGTACTCCTATAAAGCTGAAATAGGAGATGATGGTGTAGTAGGACCTTAGGTTTGCTTCATCCCTCAAACACAGCTATATAACTATCAAATCATTCTGAATACTCAAGAGATTGACCTGATGACTGATCAAACAAACTGCACAACTAGAGGGAAATATAAGGCCACATTAAGGAATGTAGCAAGTGCAGAGACATGTTTTTGGGGAGGAATGAGAAAGTAGGGAAGTATTTTGGGGGAGAAATAGATCACAAGTGCTGTGGAGGGGAGGGAGCCCTGGTCACAAAGGGAAGAGAGAGTGGAGCACACAGGAAAACACATGAAAAACACTTCCCCAAAGCCATTGTCTGGGAAATTGAGAGGGGCTGATTTTTGTGAGGTTTTGCAACCAGCAGGGCTCAATGCTAGAGTTTTAGAGGTCTGTGGCCTTGGCTGGGATGGAGACCTGAGGGTGCTGCCCTAATCCTAGAAAGAAGGCAGGCAAGCAACCCTGGGACATATGGCATGATTTGAGAATCACCTAAGATACAGGAGAGGAGACCGTTCCCTCTTCTTGGGGTATATCTGTGAGAGGTGGCATTGCCTCTCCTGGAACAAAGGAGCTGGTGGGATCATTTCACTCCTTTGCCCCTCAGCATAGTGCAGAGAAAGTGCTGAGGGAAGCTAAACCAGACACTGGCTGTTTAGCCTGCTTTGCTCCAAATCCTATACCCTTGAACTCTGGTGTGATTGTCCTTCTGGTTCAAACCCACATTAGTCCCAACACAGTGAGACCCTGTCCCAATGGACCAATGCAAGTCACTACCATAGAAGGCCCCTAATGCTTGGAGTTTTAAAAGTCAGCAAGCTTGGCTCAAAATGCACTGTGATGCTCCAGGGAGGCAACCAAGAGACCTAGACAAAATGCCAACAGGAGGAATCAGGAAGGAAGGAAGGAAGGAAGGAAGGGAGGGAGGGAGGAAAGAAAGAAAGGGAAAAGGTCATGGTCAGGGATTTAATCAAAACAGACATAAGTAATATGCCTGATGCAGAGTTTAAAACAACAATCACAAGGATACCTTCTGGGCTTGAGAAAAGTGTGGAAGACATCAGGAATACCCCTACTGCAGAGATAAAAGAGCTAAAAAATAATCAGGTTGAAATAAAAAGATAGTATCTGAGATTTAAAATCAACTGGATGTAATGAGCACAAGGATGGAAGAGGCAGAGGAACAAATATGTAATATAGAAGATAGAATTATGGGAAAAAATGAAACTAAAAAAAAGAGTAAAAGGAGAATGATGCATCCTGAGAGTAGACTTAGGGAATTCAATGACTCTATCAAATGTACTAACATTCATATCATAAGAGTCCCAGAAGAAGACAGAAAAGTGGGGGAATGTTTATTTCAAAAAATAATAGCTGAAAACATCCCTAATCTGGGGGAGAAAACAGACATTCACATCTAGGAGGCAGAGAGATCTCCCATGAAAATGAATAAAAGCAGGCCAACACATATTGTCATTAAATTTGCAAAATACAGTGATGAAGAACAAAACCTAAACGTAGCAAGAAAAAAGAAGTCCCTAACTTACAAGGGAAGAACCATAAGGTTAGTAGCAGACTTATCCACAGACACTTAGCAAACAAGAAGGGAGTGGCATGATATTTTCAACATCCTGAATGGGAAAAATCTGAAGCCAATAAAACTCTAAACAGCAAAGATATCATTCAGAATAGAAAGAGTGATAGTTTCCTAAACAAACAGAAAATAAAGGCATTCATGACCACTACAACAATCTTATAAGAAATTCTAGAGAGGATTCATTGAGTGGGAAGGAAAGATCAAAATGGCAAAGATTAGAAAGGAATAGAGAAAATCTGAAAAGATAAAACAAGCAAGAAAATGAAACTAAATACATATCTATCAATAATTACGCTAAATGTCAATGGACTAAACCCTCCAATTAAAAGACATAGAGTGTCAGAAAGGATAAATAAAACAAGAGCCATCATTATGCTGTATACAAGAGACAAATTTTAGTCCCAAAGACACCAGTAGTGGAAAGTGAGGGGATGAAGAAACATTTACCATACAAATAGACATCAAAAGAAAGTCAGAGTAGCAATATTTATATCAGACAAACTAGATTTTAAACCAAAAACTGTACAAGAGATGAAGAAGGGCACTATATCATAATAAAGGGGACAATCCAGCAAGAAGATCTAATAAGCATAAATATTGATGGCCCCAGCATGATAGCACTCAAATATATAAACAATATATTTGTAATTGTTTTATTGTAAAACAATAAAAATGTAAACTAACAGAAAATAATACAATACTAGTAGGGGACTATAACAACTCACCTCCATCAATGGACAGATTACCTAAGCAGAAAATTAACAAGGAAACTATGGCTTTGAATGACACACTGGACCAGATGCACTTATCTGAATATTCAGATATTTCGTCCTAAAGCAGCTGAACACACATTCTTTTCAAATGCATATGGGACATTCTCCAGAGTAGATCACATACTAAGTCACAAATCAGGATTCAACAAATATGAAAGATTGAGATCATGCCATGCATCTTTTCTAACCAAAATTTTATGAAACTTAAAGACAATCACACACAAAAAAATTGAAAGACCACAAATATATGCACATTAAAGAACATGCTACTGAAGGATGAATAGATCAACCAGGAAATTAGAGAATAATTTAAAAATATAGAGAAACAACAACAAAAAAGAAAATATGAAGTTCCAAAACTTTTGGGATGTAGCAAAAGTGGTCATAACAGGGAAGTATATAGTAATACAGACCTACCTCAGACACCAAGAACAAGTTCAAATAACAATCTGGTTACACCTAACAAAGCTAGAAAAAGAATAATAAATGAAGCCTAAAACCAGCAGAAGAAAGTAAATAATAAAGATTAGAGGAGAAATATATGATATAGAAACTAAAAACAAACACTAAAACAGATCAATGAAACCAGGATTTTTTCTTTGAAAAGTTAATTAAATTGATAAACACCTGGACTTTTTCCCTAAAGTTTGTAAACTTTGGCAGAGTGATAGTTAACCTAAGTAACTAAGTAATGAATCATATTTCTTTCAGTTTGGGCTTTCTCTTGGAATAATTATGTAGTAGTTAGAATTATGTGTTTCCATTAATGACAATAATGTCTTACTGAAGACATGGCACATTATTTTTGTTTCCTATTTCATAGAATTAATGATAAAATTAGATGAGATAATGCACAGAAGTCTACCAACATGCATGACATATATCAAGCATTTAATAAATATCACAAATTATTATTTTCCCACTTTATAAATTAAGATAGCAAAACAAGAAAATATAATTAAGAATTGTGTTGTTATGATTCTTGTTTTTTAAATTCCGTCCTTCAGTTTGCTTCTCAGAAACAAAATCTTTCATACTTATATTCTCAGTAAGCTCATACCTGTAGTGAAGAAATTACTACATTTGGAGTCAGCCATATTTCTTTAGGCTTCTGCCACACTCTTAGATCCTGAGAAAGACATTTAGCATTTCTGAGCTAGCGTCTTAAAATGCAAATAATGTGGGGCGCCTGGGTGGCTTAGTCGGTTGAGCGTCCGACTTTCGCTTAGGTCATGATCTCGCGGTTCGTGGGTTCGGGCCCCGCGTCGGGCTCTGTGCTGACTGCCAGCTCAGAGCCTGGAGCCTGTTTCAGAGTCTGTGTCTCCCTCTCTCTCTGACCCACCCCTGTTCACGCTCTCTCTCTCTCTCCTAGAAATAAATTAAAAAATTTAAAAAAATAATGCAAATAATGATATCAGATTCTCTTCCTACTCAAAGGATTATAATAAAAGTTTCAAGAAATAATAGATGAGAAAGTTCTTTCTAAACCAGTTTTACATATGTCAGTTGCTTTATCTCAAGTTCTA